TTCTTCATGAAATAACATATTAAAATCAAACATTAATATTATAAACTAAGGCAAATTAACAAAAACACAGTTGTTTAGTGCAAATCCTCATGAGAAATGATACAGACAAAGCAAAGATAATATTATTTGATGCAACAAAAACTCGCATTGGATGCATAATAGAAGAATTCATTCCAGATAAAACAAAAGTAACTCCCAACATTATTTAAGGAATAAATTAGAAACACAAAAAAGTCATATATATAAAATTAATATTTATCCTCATTAAAATAGAAAAATAACAAGAGTTTATATTTTCAAAAGTTTGTGTTTAGAGATACATTTCAATTTTTTTGTAAAGTAATACTAGAAGAGAAAAGTTAAATAATCCTAAAGAAAGACAACAACACAAGAAATCCAGCTCTAGCCTAATGTCACAGTCAATGTAGATAATGAAAACACTACTCTTGAATTGCTTAGGAAAAAGATAAAGGTAGAGAAGGATTGATATTAAATCAATAAAAAAAATAAAATAAAAGGAATAAAAGATATTAATATTTTCTAAATATTTATCAAATAGTTTATTTTTTTGAGTAAAATTAGGAATTTGTAAAAGAGATTTCATGAACTTTTTAAAATACTTTTATATGCTTATGTGGATGCTTTTATCATATAAAAGTATACTAGAGTTAATATTAATTTTTAGTTTATAATTTTTATGAAGTCTATCAATGATTATGAATGAACTTCATATTCTATTTAGTTTAGTTCTAGCCCACTTTTAATCAATCATCTTGACTTATTGATTTTAACTATTCATCTTCCTTTTATAACGTTATTTTTCAAGTATTTTTACTTTCTCAACACTATACTTTTCTCAAGTCAAGCTTAGTTTCATATAAGTCCAAAATAACATGAAAAATACAAATTGGTTTTGGATACATTTGTTCCCTGTCTTCAGTTATCAACATGAAAAATTTGATTTGGTGTAGCTTATTTAAACAAATATTAAAGAAAATAAATAATTACAATGCTAAATTTTAGAGATATAAGTGATAAAAACTATGAAAATAATTAAAACTGAGAAATAGATTTTAGTAAGGAAATAAATTAAAATAATTAATCATGGTATTTAACCAGGTGCGTCGCACGTACATAAAACCTAGTGCATAGAACACCTTTTAGAAATAGTCAATTTAGGAGGTCCTAAGTGCTAATAAACGAGTTAATGAATGATGGGTGTTAATTTTCAACCGAAGTTATAAATTATGTGCAACTTTTAAAAAGAACAAAATAAAAAAAAGGAAAGTTATGTCGGGCCCCCAAAAATAGGAACTTCTTGTGCTGCAGCCCCTTTACATTTCCACCATGTGGTTCAGTTCCCTTAAATATGACATCTTGTGCTGCAGCCTTCTTTTAGCAATTATTACATACCAACTAAGCTAAAATTCCCAAAATGTCCTTGTCTCCACTTCTCAATCCCTCAAACCCAGCGCTCTCATCTGCTCTCTATGTACTCTCCCTCATCTCCTCTCTCATCTCTCTCTCAAGCTCTCAAGCCCCGCTCCCGCCCGCGACTATGCCCTTCACCACGCCGTCGGGCTCTAGATCTGCACCCTAGCCCGTGAGTTCGGCCCTCGAGTTCGCCGCTGCCTCCCCTCCTCTCCTCCGCCCGACCTCGTCGCCGTAGCTCGCTGCCGCTCCCCGCCTGTAGCTCTCTGCCTCACCCTCAAGTTCGTCGCCGCCTCCTCCCCGCCCGACCTTCGAGTTTAACCTTCTCCCTTCCCTTGAGTTTAGCCTTAAGTTCAGCCTTTCCTCCCTCCTCCTCTCCTGCACCCGAGCCTGCCACTGGAGCTCGCCATGAATTAGAACTGAGTTTAATTGTCGCAAGTTTTGGCTACATTTTTGGGAATTAATTGTTGTACTATGTCAGCATGATTACATTTGTTCAACATGTTGTATTTGTCTCGTTGTTTATGACTTTGTTCTCGATATAGAAGTATGGAATAATCTTGTAGACTTAAATACCAGTGTTGTATAGAAAAGAAAAGAGAGGAAAAAGAGAAATACGACGGAAGGGTTCCAAGAAGAGTAGCCACAAACCCTGCATATCTAGGGTTTTTGTATAGAAAAGCTCTTCTCCTTCCTCTATTCTCCATTCGTCGAAGGCGACCGGAGATGGAGAGCAATGGTAAGATTTCCATCAACTCCTCTCTATGGATCTTGATCGCGTTGCACAATTTTTTAATGACCTCGATATGTGATATTTCTATTGTTTCATCGAGAAAAAAAAATTACACCCTTTAAGTTTCGATCTCATATCGAAATTGGTAGTGATTCAAATTCTCTATGAACTGTGAAATACCAGTGTTGTTGTGATTCAATATGTAATATTTCCCATATTTCTATTGTTTCATTGAGAAAAAGATGTCATCCATTAAGTTTCGTATGAGATTGAAATTGGTGGCTGGAGTTTCTTTGTGAAGCTCCATCCTTTTTTCTTAAAAAAAAAAACACTATTCGAAGCATATCTAGAGAACTTATCTTGAAGCTGACTAAATTTGAGATTAGAGACTGCAAATGTTAATGTCACTGTTCTTGTTTCAAATAATTAGTGTCAAATGAGTGATCAGTAAAACTGATCTATGAACTTGATTCAATGTTTGTCCCATGGAATTTTCCGCATTTGTCAAGGCCCAGAAGCCAAATGCTTACTTTACAGTGAGAAAATATAGGAAATGTTTCTTAATTGTAAAAAGCCATAAACCCCCAAATGTCAGTTTTACACCCTTCTCCGCAGCAAAATCCCCGGATGTCGCGTTCTAGGAATTTGAGTGTTTTAGCCAATTTATGGAAAGCTTTTCAACAAAAAAAAAGCACAAGAGTATAATTCTATAATGCAGAAGCTTCTATTTGGAGGGTAACATCAGAGGTTTTCCACTGTTTTCCACCAAAAAAAGTTGGAGCAAACGCCCCCTAAGCAATTTCAAGTGGTTCGTTAATCAAGTTTAACCCTTTTTCTCAAAAAAATTGTGAACTAAATAAATGAATAGGAATACTTTTTTGCCTTAAGTTTTCCAAGGTGGTGGAGTCAAGTGGTTTCCAAGTGAAAGAAACAGCCCCTTCATAGAAAAAGTGCGAAATGGGTCCAGTTACAAAATTTGTGCCAGACTGATTTTCTCAATTTCATCTCTCTTGCTTGTTTTAGTGGAGATTGGGGTGGAAAATTTCTCATGAATTTGTTGACAACACATGAAAGTTGGTTGTCAGAAAATTGAAAGGAAAAGGGGAAATTTTGGTGAGAAAGTGAAAAATATGGGACTCATTGTTCTTAAAAACTGTTTAAAAATTCAGAAAAAGCTTAGAAAATTCTAAACGACTCCAAAGTTTTTAACTTTTTAATTCATTATTTGTTTACTTATTTAGGTATTACATTACTAATAAATGCTAATATATTCTACATTAAAAATAAGCTCAAGCATTGGTCTGAACCATTAAAGCACTTTCCATCTGCTATGTTTTGTTCAAGGAAGCATAAAAATTTAGCAAGCAAATTTGTTGCAAGATCCTTTGAAATTAGACCTGGTATAAGATTGTTTTAAGTCAAGTAGGTGATGAGTCTAATTCCACTCCATTAGTCAAACTCTTGTCGCTATTGAAGGGGTGATCTCTTTCATAATTCAAAATAGTTAGTTTCCAAAATCAAATTCTTACATTTTGGCGATCATAAGTTGCCAGAGTTTTGGGACAACATTTCTATAAGAAGGTAATGTCATTTCTGTGAGTCAAAATAGTTTGGCTGGTTTGGAAGGCAGAAGAAAATGCAATTTTTTAGTACACAGAGGAAATGGTAGGAAAAGTGTTAGCATCTGAAAAATAGCACAGATCTAGCAAAAGAGGATAATAGAAACTCAAACAAAGCTGAATAAGCAAATATTGCTTAGAACTATTTGCAAGTATACTTCATAAAGGATGAAGCCATCATGCCACTGGAAAATGTAGTATGGTCTTCTCCATTTTGACAGATTCCCCACCTATGAGCACCATGTACCTTTGAGTGCTTTACACAATAATAACATGAAAAGATAAAAGGAATAATGTTTATGTATATATGTATACTTTATATACTGGCAAATTTTCAAAATAGACCTTATTAGAAATTTATTTTTAAGAAACGACATCTTTGAAATTTAATTGTCATTTTCGACCTAGTTCCCTTCAGCCATCTATCTAGCTGAAACTGGGTCGAAAATGGTAATCAAAGTTCGAAAACTTTACGGTATTTAAAATATCGTAAAATTTAGTGTTTGATTAGCAACACTAATGAAAAATGACCCAAACTTCACGGGATTTTAGCATCACTGTTTAAATACTAAACTTCATGGGATTTTAAGTCTCGTGAAGTTTTCGAACTTTAATTGCTATTTTTGACTCAGCTTTAACCAGGTGGCTGAAACTAGGTCGAAAATGCAATTAAATTTCAAAGGGGTCATTTTTAATAATAAATTCCTAATAGGGCCTATTTTGAAAATTTGTCCTCTATATTGACTATTTTGAGAAAGCAGTTCTTAAGAGCGAACATTTTCACTTCCAGGACTTCAACGTGTACATTATTAACACAAACTAAATCATTAAAACTAGTTATATTCAAGTGTTTTTAATATTTTTTATCATTATTCGCAAACTATACATTTTATCTCAGCAAAATATATCCATAATATTTGAAATGAACAAAAATATTGAAAAGTCTTTAGTACTAATACATTTTATGTCTAATGTTTTTTAGCAAGATATAATTGCTACCATACATTCTCATTCACCATAAACTTCCAATACTATTAAGTTTTGCAATGTTTTTTTTTTTTGTTTCGGAGTCTGGTACATAAATTCTCTCCTTTGCTTGACAATATCATACCTCAGTCTAGGAAAAACAAGACCAGGGGATTATAAAAAAGGGAACAAGAAAAAGAGAAAAAATAGAAAAAGGAAAACAAAGGAAACCTTAGAAGATTTGATTGGAGATGTTGGCTGCTTTTCCCACTGTCAAGCTCGACAAGCTCTACGAGAGCTCCTTCACTTGCGTAGCTGTCCTCAGGTCTGGTAGGGTTTAGGGATTTCCATGGGAGCTTGAATCAAGCTGGTCCAATCTAGAATCTGTTGGATTTAATCTAATAAATCTATTTGTGGGCACATATGATTAATCAATGTGTATTGCTATCTTTCAGGATAACCCACTAAAGTGATCAATTAAGTTGGGTTAATTTGGTATTTAAATAAGTCATGGGGTTATATGTGCAGATACCAGGTTGTAATTGTAATTTATTGAGGGGCTAAATTACAAAAGTACAACATCTATAAATAAGGGGTTATGGTCCCTAACCTAGGGTAACATTCTCTAATTCTCTTCACCCCATCTAAGAGAGAAATTCGGCTAAGAGAGAACCCTAAGGTTAGAAGATCAAAACCCATCTCAAGATTAAGCAATGGATTCAGGTATAAGCTTCCGCTCTTTTAGATCCTTGTTAATCTCTTTGAATTAATCATGGCTATATAGTTTTAGATCTCAAGATTAATGATGTAGATCTAACAAGTGGTATCAGAGCCACCTTGATTAATTCTTAGGGATTTAAGTTTTATTGGGTTTTTTGATCTTAAATCTCTAGTTAAAGATTCAATTTTTGGGTTCGGATGAACAGTAATGTTCGGTGAACAGTAGCGAAAATTTTTTTGTTCGGGTGAACAGTAAAGTATTTTTTCGGATGAACAGTAACTGAAAAATCGCCGGTGAACAGTAACTTTTGGGAATTGTTAATCTCTTTGAATTAATCATGGCTATATAGTTTTAGATCTCAAGATTAATGATGTAGATCTAACAGAATCTTGTTTGTAATCGGGATAATTTGATATCTTAAATTATTTGATTCCTAACTTTTTTTTCTTAGGTCTTTTCCACCGTTGGCGAAGAAGTATGTTCTGCAAATGTTTTTTATTGATTCGCCGGTTACGGCTAAGTTTATGGAAGAGTGGGTGCTAGCAGATGGATATTCTAAGCACAGAGTGGCGATTGATATGTTACTTCAACTGAGGGTTTTTATTGAGTTGAATGACGGGTAAATTCTATTATACTATTAGAATTGTTTTGCTTTTGGAGTTCAACTCAACAATGTCTCAATGGTTTGATATTTTAAAATTAACAAACATTATGGCTGCAACCTAATGGCTCTCTGATATTTATTTTGTTCCTTCAATTAACAAATTTTTATTCTGTAGTAGAAAAGTTGCTAATTTCAAACTTTTGGGTTGTATGTATTCGTGAAGTTGATGTCAATCACGTTCATCTCCCAAACATTCTTCTATTTTGTGCAGTAACTAGATATTGAATTGTTACACTGAAAAACACAGAAGCACAAGACTCGAGTTATTTAAAGAAAAACATGAACGTAGCTTCTCATGTTGAGAATTATTGTTTTGAGGGTCAAACTGTTTGTTTCAAGGATGCTTGAATTGTCAATAATTCATGCGTCTTAAGTATTTTTCTTAGAAAAACATCGCTAGAAAACAATCTCGAGAATCCACCTTGATGACTTCGTTACTTGCGATGCACTCATGCAAATCTTAAGTGTGAAAATTAGCCCATATAAACCTCTTTGTTTTCATTTTAGTCTAANAGAACTGCAAATCTCAAATTCAAATATGTACTATGATGTGTTTGCTTTGAGAAGCGTTCATTCTTCCAAATAAACTTATAAATGAAGGGGTCATGAATCCGCTATAAGCATTGATTTTGAATAAAGGATTAAAATCTTGAATTTGCTTTCGACCTTATTCTTGTATTCTTGTTTTGTTTTCACTTATCCTATTGATCTCAATTAGCCAATTTCTGTTGTCCCTGACAGGACTATGTCAATAGAATGCCAAGATCCATTTTGGCATGAATTCTATATCTGTTATCTAGGACTTTATTTCTGCCAAAGAATGTTATTACACCATTCTCACCCATGGTTCTGCTTTCCAATGTTTATGGTCATCCATTTGCACCTACCACATACTATTTCCTGTTTTTGGCGTTGTGAAGTTGTATTTTGCTAATTATATGAAGATAATGTTCAGTGACTTCAGTCTACATTGGAAGTCCTAAGAATAACATCACAATATTATCTCTATGACAATTTCTTGTGAACATTACAACAGTAGATGCAGGATCCAGCTTCTAGGTATTCAATTCTTTATAACTCATATATCTGAGATTACAGGTTTCAAAAATGTTTATCTATTTGTTTATAAATGTACATTCTTTCTTACTAGCCAAATGCTGAAAGTATATTTATCCTTCACGTACTATTCCTTCACAAGTTAAGGAGTATGTATTCACTGGAAAAAGAAATGGAAGATCTCATTGTCTATATCATATTTATGTAGTCCTGTAATTGAAGAATATGAAAATGTGAAGATGAACACGTAGGTTCCGATAGATGACTGACAAATGTAACAAGCCAGGTTCATGCAACTAGTGCATTGTATGATGTCAGCTTTGTGTATGATACTCTATAATCTGATCAATAGGTTCCTGCAACATGTCTTGTATGCTGCAACTGGATGCATACTATTTCTTAGGGTTCTTTTCCTATGATATTAAGTTTCTTCTCATCTCATTCCTAAACCTTTTCATTACTGCTTCTGTTTTTGTTTGGCACATATTTTGTTACATTGCTGTTTTGGATTTCAGAAGATTATGTAATTTTCTTTCTAAATAACTGAGGGAGGTGTGTCTAAAGTTTTTCTTTTGTACTAAAGTATATCATTGTCGTATGAACAGAAGAAAAGAGAAAAGTTACAAGATGAATCCAAAATTTCAGAGCAATATGCAGAAATACTTGGTCCACGGGTAAGTTCTATTATTCATTCCTCACGTCTCCACTTTAGCTAGTTGAAATTAATTGCATATTACTGGTGCTTCTTGATGCTGAAATGTCAGACAATATATAGCTTGGGGACCTGGGGTACATAAAGTACTTGAAAATTTGAAGTATCTAATGTGTTTGCTTAGGAAGGAATGATTTACATCTTAATCAGTCTCTCTGGTGTAGATCTTTAATAGTTTTTAGTCTTATGTTTTCGGATTACTAATACTGTTCTTGGGGAAGATGATTATTCACTCAATCATAGTGCGCAACAGGCAACACTATGCATATAGCTTTTGAATGTCAAACATTAGTGACCGAGAAAATATACCTAAAAGAATTCCTCGTGGTGTTTATATATTTTCTTGTCATACTTTAAGGTCATGTATGAAAACATCTGCTTCTTTCCATTGGAAGAAACTACAATAGATTTTCATAATTTTGTTGTCTTCTTGATTTATTGGAAGCTACCCTCTTGTTCCTTTCAGTTCCTCTTTTGTTTTTTTTTTTTGTGTGTGTGTGGGAAGACTAGTTATAGCATGAGCAGCATTTGTATCCGAGACCTTCTGCATGGATTTCATTGTCGTACAATGTCAATTACAATTGGTGTATTCTTTTAGAAGATCTTTTTTTTTTCTTTGTTTCTTTTTCCTCTTTGTGGATCGAGTTTAAAATATCTTTTGTCTTTCTTTTTCCTCTTGTCGTTGTTAGAGTAGGAATTTTGAATGGTGAGCATTGTCACTGCATATGTTTCTTATGTAGCTAAAGCACCCCCAGAAATCTATTATTGAGCAAAATTCATAACTAGCTGTAAATAGTTGGACAAGCTTGGTTGTTATGTAGTTTTTCTTATTAAACTAGTGAAAGAACCAATGCACACATGTTGACCCGGACAGATGGGAACATCTTGGATGCATCTGTGCATCATATAGTTTCAGAAGTTGCTGCCTATTGAAGTTGATTTTGACCTTCATGTTGATGAAAACATGATTTTATCCCTTGAGATATTAAATTCTGCCTATTGAAGTTGATTTTGACCTTCATGTTGATGAAAACATGATTTTATCCCTTGAGATATTAAATTCCATAGTGCAAATATTTTGACCTTCATGTTGATGAAAACATGATTTTATCCCTTGAGATATTAAATTCCATAGTGCAAATCAGTCTTTAAGCTTTTCATTTGGAATTACCTCTCTGATTTGCTGCAGCAAAAGCTATGCACTTTATTTTGGCCCCTTCATGCGCAGTTTATTCTGTACAAACCAGTAGAATCAGTGTAGTCCTTGAAAACATATGGTTGCACACTTGGATTGGCTCAGTCCAAATTCTGCTGCTTGTACTGCTGAAATTGAGCCTGCCATGTCAGTGCGTGCGGATCACCCAAATTCTTGTAGAAACAACCCCCACTCTCCTTTACATTATATACTATTTAATGCAAAGAATCACTTAACAAAATGTCAAGGGATTTTTGGAACTTATACAAGAATAACTTAATTCCTTAACCATATCTGATTAATTCTGATTTTCATACTAGCCAAAATACTTAAGCACTCTAAATGACACTAATAAATTTTGACTAATATTAACCACAAGAAGACTCCAAAGAAGCATTGGAATAAATTTAGTATATGAGTCTACCATCAATGAGCACGGTATTGGAACATTTACAGCATTCATATCAAGAGAATCATTTACTTCTATTTCTTTATGTTATTGCAGTGCAACTCTACCTAGAGAACCAATGTCCTCTAGTATTACAGGGAGATTGCCTAGCTTGGAGGAGCTAGAGTCCTATGCCCTTGAGCAATGGGAGGTTCTCTCTCTGTCCCTCCCTGTACTTTTCTTATATATTACTTGCTAAGGATGTCACTATGTCCAATGGTTTTGCATCTTATTCTCTATTCCAAGTTATATGGTTTGGACCATCTGCTTCATATTTTATGTTCCTAAGGATAATAGTGTTCTTTCACCTTGGGGTAGACCAGTGTTTCTTGTTGCAACTCATAAGCTCAGCTCAAGCAGAGAGGTTAACAAATTTCAGCTCCTCTATGCTGCGAGTTTTTCAGCGAGGTCTTTTTAGTTCAAGGTTCTCTGCTTCTAAGTTTCCTTATTCAAGTTGGCGGATTCTCGGCATATAGATATTTAATACGTAAACATTCATGAAACATTTATAAGTGTTGATTCCATGCAGGGAAAATGAAGCTGCGACGCTAATTAAGTATGGTTTTCAGTTCCTGGTTTGTTTCTATTAAAACTTCATTAATAAGTTAGTTATTCACCTTGATATTACCTTATGGTTGTTTCTTTAAACAGCTGATGGAAACCAACGCCCAACTGTGGTACATAGTAGGGGAGTATATCTCATCTTCTGAGGTAAGAAGTTCTAGCACTCATTCCATAGCTTTCAGCAAGATTAGCATATTTCTTGTTGTTACACGTGCCCATCGATGATCAAGGACTTGATACTTTTATAAAATTTTATAAAGCTTTTGTTGTGTCCATATCTAACTCCATTTTGAGGGGAAGACACAGTTGATGCTCTATCTATCTATGCACATCTTATACACATGCATTTATGTTGGTCCAATGTACCTATGTATGCACACACGTATAACTATTCATGCATTAATTAATTTATACATACATATATACATGTATGGACGTATGCATGCTTACATTTATGTGACTGTTTGTGTGCATGTGTAATGTACTTTTTCTATATTCTAATGTTTTGGTTTTTGCTCATTGTTTGAAGGATTGTGGCGTGGACCCCACAGATCTGATATCGTTTCTTCTTGAGCTTAGTTTTCATACCATGGGCAAGGTATTGACTGTATGTGCTTTTCATTATGAAGTTACTTCATGTTATATACATATATAATGTATTCATTTCTCAATGATAGTTGCAAGCTGTTTTTGTTATTCGGAATTTAATTTTCTCCATTTGTGTTGATCTGCATTCATGATTCATGTAGACTAAATGAGCAAAATTGACCCGCGCGTTTCCGTGGAATTAGGGTGAAAATTGTCAAAAGAACAATGGTTTAAGCATTTGATTTTAAAAAAATTCTCATACCAAATCATTTAAAAGAAAAAAATTGATCTGATGGTGTACTTTAAGTTGTTAGATTTAAGTCAATAGGATTAGAACTTTAGATTTATAAGCAAAATCTCTTCTGGAAGTAAGTGAGTTTAAAACTAAATAGGGATAAATTTTTTAGTTTTTAGGGATAAAATGGCATTGCTACATTAGCGTGAAGAAAGTCTCAAGAATTAACGGTTAGAGAATTTGGTTTAAAAATAAACTAATTTTTAAACCACTCAAAAAGTATAGCAAGTTACAGCAGAAAAAAATAATAACTTTCAGCATGTATCAGAATGCTAAAATACAAAGCCGGTTTAGAAATTAGTCTGGTGGGGTATTTCTAGTTGTAATATTGATTTTGATAAGTAGATGGTTTTGGAAATAAAGGATGGCAAACTTTAAGTACATGAGCCAAAATTCTTTTTGGAAGTAGATGGATTTAAAATAAATGGGGATAAATTTTTTGGAAGTAGGGTTTCTGGGTCTAGGACCATTACTAATTGATTTCCCTACGCCAATCTTTTCAAGTATCTATTCGTTGTCTATATCTATCAGAGCTGCCTAGCCATGGAGCTTGGGCTATTTATTCATTATTATTCTTAAAGTCCCTCTGACCAATTGCACCACAACTCCAAAATTGTGGTGAGAGTTGAGGGTTATATTTTTATATTCTAACATGCACCCGTAGGTTGAGCGCCCTATTTATAGGCTAAAACCTGTACTCACAGCGGTGTCAATTTTTTTAGAAAATCCATGACCAGTGAGATTTGAAATTAGGTTGTTTTGATACCATCCTAAAGTCCCTCTAACCAATTGCACCGCAAATTGTGGTGAGAGTTGAGAGTTATATTTTCATATTTCAACAATTATATTAGGTACAATGTCAATTTCTAGTGCATGTGACCTTATCGACAAGTGATCTCTTATATTTCTCTCCAGGAGATCAAATTTTAGAAGGTGATATTAAAATTTTGAAAAACTTTTTTCGTCCTCTCTGAAAAAAATTCTTTATATACATTGTCCTATTTGTTGATAATAGATGTATTAATGGGCCAATAACCTAGACAGTACTCCTACTATTAATCAAGCTAATGACTAGCTTATGTAGTTGCTTTTTTACCAATCTACCCAACGTCGAGACCTGACTAATGATCAGGCTAAGTAAGGACTGAACTAATGACGTTGGCTTCTCAGTGGAAGCCCATTAACATATCTATTAGGGCTTAGAGATTCACGTCCTTGAGGAAATTTTCATTGAGATGACTTGTAGTAGTATGACTCATACTCAGGAGAAATCTTACATAGATACTGTATTATTATTATTATTATTTTTGATATCAGGCATATCTGTTTCCTTGTGTGCTGTAGTTTACTTAAGCTGGTCGCTGATGCTTTTGAATATGTTTTAGGCATATAACTTGAGTACGTTGACTGATGTGCAAAGAAATGCTATAAAAGATCTTGCAAGCCTGGGATTAGTGAAACTTCAACAGGTCAACATTGTTTATCTTTTCTTGTTTTGTTATTCAGCAAATGAAGACTCAGAAGTTCAAGCCTTTCCAATTTTTCAGGGAAGAAAAGAAAGCTGGTTTATACCTACTAAATTAGCTACTACTCCTTCAGTTAGCTTGTCAGACAAGTCAGCACGAAAGCAGGTTCGCATCTTGCATTTCTGAAAGGCCTCAAGCATGTCATTTAAAAGATCTACACAGATCTGTGATTAAGTGCTGACGTGGTCCTAAATCATTATGGACGTTTTAAGGACAAGTTTTGAGTATTATTTATACCTCTGCCGCCAACCCCATTGAAAGCTGTATTTTTTAGTTGCTCATACTTAATAAATGCCTTTAATCTAGTCTATCTACGACCTGAACATCAGAACATTATTCTGGTCCTAGATCAATAGAGAAACTTGTGTGTAGATGTAACATAAGTTATGCATGTTATACTAAACAACAGCAACGGCGGTTGTCTACACACACTCATCTGATATAAGTGCCAATTCCATTCTTATGTTGAACAGTTACATTTATAAAGAAGAGGATTTGCAACTGTACGGATATAAATCTTTACTATGTTTCATGAGAATGTTTATGTTGTGATGACAACTAATGTAGTAACCCTACTATAATCTAGCCTTGTCTGAATATCAACCATAAGTTAATCTATTTCATTTGTTATTATCTGGGGAAGTGGCAGGCGAACAAGAAATTTCATATCGTCTTTATGAGCCTATGTACATGTTAAGTTATTTTTTCTCATCTTCAATACAGATGCTGTTGCCTCTCCATAATTTTGTTACTCATTTTCACTTTGTTTGTTTGTTTCTTATTGTTGCAAATCTACTTCAAGCATCGTGGACAAAGTATATAAAATATGATGCTTAAATAATCATCTTGAAACCTGCAGGGATATGTAGTGGTGGAAACAAATTTCAAAATATATGCTTACTCGACATCAAAACTGCATTATGAGATTTTGCGATTGTTCTCAAGGTAAAATTTATCTAGTATAATTGCAATGAATACATTTATGTACTTGCCTTCAAACGACCGTTTGACTGCTTTGTTGGATTGGTTGTTAGTAAAAAGAATCACTGTTTTATCCGGCAAAACCATTTTTAGACTTAAAAAAGTATAAATGCACATTTGACTTGTCGATTTTGTGCATTATTGATTGATAAATTGGATTTCCTCGTGCAAGAGCAGTTGAGTGTAAATTTAGCAACCGTCAGCAAGTAGGAATCCTAGTACATCAAGGTGGTTGAATTATAGACATAAATTGTGCCATAATGACAAATATCCCCAACGACTTATCCTCTTAGTTAATAGCTGTAAAGCTAAGATCATTTGTTTTTTTTTCTTTGGACAAATTGCACAGTTATCCCTCCTGAGGTTTCTGGGGGTCCCGAAGTTTATTTTCAACACTTACCTTCACTGTTTCCATCAGTTGCATTTGCCCTCCAAGGCTTCTTTCTGTTAACTTCCTCTTTGAAAACAGCCATGTATTACTATTGATGACTAAATTTCCCTTGAATGCTCCGTTTCTCCTTTTGTATCATATCTGGGTAGACTCGAAGTGACCCCAACACTCATTTCCCCCTAATTATCTTATAGTTTAGTGTACAATGCATGCTAATATAGATGATATATTCATATTGTACTTTATTAGAATATGAGTCACCAAAATTACAAAGCCTTATTCAAACTATGGAAGTCATTAGTTTGATTTTTCTATCAATAAATCTGTATTTTATGTACAAACTGTAACACACTAAAATTTGCAGAAATAGATAAGTTAAATTGATAAAATAAGGTCTACTAAATCATCAAATAGAGAGTTTCACACATATTGCATACTGAATATATCATCCATATTAGCAGGTCACGTGTTAGATTTCTGTTTCCATTTGGCATGTCTTCAAACAGAAGTCTATATAAACGACAATTTTTTATATATCTCCCAGTGATAAAACAACATCTTGCCTACAATCTCCTGAGAACTATAGTGTAGAATATGTATCATTATTTATGTTATCATATGTGGTTGGTCTTTGATCCCTATTCCGAGGTACAACATTCTGCCATCTGTCTTAACCTAAATCAAGTAACACGAGAAACTATTCGATGATCATCATTTACAAAACTTGATATGATAATTTTTCCCTTAGGGATGCATGTGCAGACATTGACTAGTATTTGGACAAACTGTAACTGATACTGTTTGTGCCGCAGGATAGAGTATCGACTTCCAAACCTTATTGCTGGATCTATAACAAAAGAAAGTGTAGACAATGCTTTTGAGAAGGGAATTACTTCTGAACAGGTAAGATTTGTATTTTACACTTAAGTTCTGTTATCTATCAGAGGACATGGTGTATTGCTCAAATTTATTCCTTAATTCTTCCTCCCCATGATTTGGTGCCTTCGGCTTTTCGTTGTAAATTTCTTTCAGCCATCAGTTCTTAATGTTATTTTCTGGAACTAATAAAATCTTATGGATAATGGCACTCTTGCAAGAATGAGTAGAGATTTTTTTCTTTCCTCCCCTGAAGTCGTCCCTTATCAAATATATATTCTTAACTTTGTTCTTGCAGATTATTTCTTACCTTCAGCAGAATGCACATCCTCGAGTTGCTGAGAAGACAACGGCGGTTCCAGAAAATGTTACAGATATGGTGATGAAAGAATCACAAACCTTATTTTGTGAAAACTTATAAATAAACCTCCTTATAAGTAAATCTCCTTTGTAAGAGGGCAAAATAGTCTGTTACCAAAGAACTAGTAAACCTCCTTATGAGGAACAAAAAAATAAGTTGGAAGTAAAATTAGTCGAAGGGAAAAACAAAACAAAACTTAATGAGTCAAAATAAAATAAGAGTTCCCAAACACGTTCTTAGAGCATCTCCAACCCAACTCCAAAAACCCAAAATGGAGCAAAAACCGCGTCAAATCTTCCTCCAACCGGACTGCAAATTCAGCGCCATTTTGATGAGGTGCTATAGTGTTGCGCCAGATTTGGTGCAGCACCGTAGATATGGAGATTTTGGTTTTTCCCAAGTTTACCCTTATAGTTTGTTATAACAAATCAAATATTCCAACTATATCCCATTTTATAGTTTGTAAATAAAATGAATATTCTTTTTGGTGTAAAATTTATTTCTGTTTTCAAGGGTAGTTATAGAAGCTGTTTTCATTTTCTTTATCCCAATTATCCCCAATGGCCTCCTCCTCCTAGCTTCATGCCTGTCGATCCTGCAATAAACTTCGTATCTAAAATTTTCCAGTTTTTGATCTGATTCTTCCTCCACCGCTAGACGTGTCCTCTCATTCCTTCAATCAAACCCATCATCTCTTTTTAACTTTCATTACCCCCATCTAGTAGTTTACTTTTTTTTTGTCCATCTGTTTTCTAGATTTCATTTCCTGATTGTGATGAGTAAAAAGAAACTAGTGGGTTCTAATCAATCAACACAGAAAGAACTATGAAACTTTTTCTCTTTCGATCATCTTAAATTAAGCCCCTTTAACCATTACATCAAAATTCTAAAGTTTTCGTGAGGCTGGAGAATACTGTTTTATATTCTAACATGCCCCAGTAGGTTGTGCACCTTTTTTTATGAGCCGAAATCTGGACTCACGCAGTGCTATCAATTTTTAGAAAATCTACTTTAAATTCGTGGCCGGTGAGACTTGAACTAGGTTGCTTTTATGCCATTTGAAATTAAGTCTCTCTAACCATTACACCAAAACTCTTTAAGTTTTGGCCAGGGTTGAGAGTTATTGTTTTATATTCTAATAGATGAGCTTAATTAAAAAATTAAGAAGAATTTAAAACTTAAGAAAACGATTTTAAAATCATAAGAGTTTAGAAAGAAATGGGTTCAATCATCGACGGAATTTTGATGTCTTGAACCAAATTCTCAATGGTTATTTTCTGGTGGGCATAATCATTTGATTTTGCAAACTTGCTATAAACGATAGAAAATAGGAGGCTTGAAGCAATGGGGACGGAAGTGTTGACAAAATTATTTCCCTAAATTAATTAAAAAACTACTTATTGGAGTACGAAGCAATATCGAAGAAATGCTCATTATATACTCTATAGTTAACTGCAGATAGACACCTCTAGTATCACAGTTTAGGGATTACTACCCTTGAGTCATAGTAAGTTCAAGACAGTGATGCACCTTGGGGTATATCTGCAATTAAGCCTATAGCTAATAAATTAACAGTTACATGATATATTATCTAACTGCAGATCAGATTTTGGGAAGCAGACCGAAATAGGGTTGGTATTACCCCATGTCATCCTTATGAAGATTTCCCATCCAAGGTGGTGTTCTTTGTTAGTTTTCTCCCTCTCTTGTTTGTGCAAGTTCTCTTTTCCTTAAGAACACTGGTTTGGATTATTACATGCGCAGGACGTATTTGAAGCAGCCTGCGACTTTGCAAGGGAGCTTGATGGCTTGTTGTGGGAAGATTCAAAGAAGACGAGGTTGGTTGTTAATGAAGAGCTACACCAAGATATGCAGGATTTTCTCAGGCGTCAAGAAGTAACAACATCGAAAACGTCGACATCTAAATTGACACCACGACCAAAATTTTGAGTCTATCCGGTGACGTTGATGATCTTTAGCACAAAGCCTGGTTCTAAGTTGATGAAGCTCCCTGAAACCTTCAGGGTTTCATAATTATTGAATACTGTTTTGTCCAAATTATAAAGAGCCGTGAAAGATTTATGTATAGCTAAGTATGCTGGAGAAATTGCTGGAGAGGTATACATGTGTATTTTGAGAGCTCTTTGGCTTCCTTGGCGAACACTGAGGCACATTTACAAAGATTAACTGCTGCTGTTTGAATTACTGTCTTCACATTGCACAGGAAGAAGTACAATTTTCTCTTTGAATTAGTCCTATTTTTCTCACTTGCGTTGAAGTTTCATTTTCACCAGACCCGTACAATATATTTTCAGCTACTTCTTCCTTTTAATCTTTTCTCCTTGCTTGCTGCCACGAAACTGCTACGGGGCTCCTAACTCTAAACTCCCCACAAACCCAAACGATCTCCCCAAAGGAAAACCCGCTTCCTTTACCCCCATCAAACCTCACTCTGTAACTCAACTTCTCCCCAGTCTCTCTAAACGCCAGAACCCTCGGCTCCACTCTCATCTCCACCCCCTCCGGCTCCTTCACTCTCACCTCGTACTCACATTTTGCCGGTCCAACGTTCATCGCCGTCCTCGTCATCGTCACCGTCGCGTTCCCCTTCCGACCGTCGAAAAGCACTGAAAACGATGGGTAGTTCAGTTCTCTGTCCCGCGCCCCGCTGCTGCTGCTGCAACTGTAATTTTGTCTAGCCACTGTCATCAACTGCTGAGATGTGTAGCTCATGCTGCAGAGGTAGTTTAAATAGTCGTCTGGCGCAATGTCGTAGACCAGTCCCGGATTTGACGCTTTCTCAGGGTCGACGTGACCTGATCCAATGGCGAACGGGGTGGCAGGGGTCGACGAGCTTATGTCGAGGATTGAGGCGTTTCGGTTGTCGATAGAACGAGCTGTGGTCATTAAGGCTGATTTTATTGCGGCCGGGGACCAGTCTTTGTGTGCGGCCTTTAGCAGTGCGGCGAGCCCGCTGACGTGCGGGCAGGACATCGATGTGCCGGAGATGATGTTGAAATTGCTTCTTCGACGGTCGGTTTGGAGAAGCGACGGGCTCGTCGATGGCGGCCATGCCGCGAGTATGCTCATCCCCGGTGTGGTCACATCAGGTTTTATGATGTCGGGGGCGACTGAGCTTGGGCCTCTCGATGAGAATGCGGCGATCATTGGCGCTGGTTCGCCATAGATTGTACCGAGAAATGTGATCTTAGCGGTAGGATTTTTCGTTGTCGCGATGTAGCTTTTGATGGCTTTGGTGGCCGAGGCGCCAACC